GTGTTGGTGGGGAGTGTAGCAGGAGCCGACACCGGAGGTGCCAGACCGGTGACCTAGGTGGCACAGGTAGGCAACACCTCAAGGTCCACGCCGGAACTGCAGCTCACAGGGCTGATGGGAAAGGTGGCGAACAGGGCCGCTTCCTTATTAGCAAACTCTCAACACCTGTGCCACAGTAGAAGAGGCTGTAAATTCTCACAGATTTAGCCAATGACCCAATCACCTTAAAAATCCAAGGGCTTTTTGTACCCACCTCCCTGCGGATCCTGAAACATTAGATAAACCAAGCATATATACAGCAATCTTTCAGGAGGACGTGAGTTCTTAAAATGCTAAGCAGTTCTTAAAAACTTAAGTCGCACTATGTAGATGTAATACGGTACTGCCTGTTTACTGCATCTAAACCTTAATTGCGCTTTTATTATGATAATTATGACCAGTCCTGCCTGAAGTCAGCATAGTTTGTGTCCCAGATTTCCTGGATGTTTTGTGATGAGAATTTGTTGGATTTGTTGTTTTCTTTGATCAGTGCATTTATTTTCTCTATGGTATCTTCAGCATCTGAGATTCTTTCTTCTATCTCTTATATTCTGTTGGTTATGCTTGACTCTGTTATCTCTGTTCCTTTACCTATATTTTCTATATCCAGCTGGCCCTCGGTTTGTGTTTTCTTTATTGTCTCCATTTCAGTTTTCAAGTCTTGAACTGTTTCCATTATCTGTTCGACTGTTTTTTCTTGGTTTCCTAGGGTATCTTTTATGGACTTATTCATTTCTTCGAACTTTTTGTTATTCTTCAAATCCATTTCTTTAAGGGAGTTTTTCACCTCCTGTTTAAGGAACTCTATTGCTTTCATAATGTCAATTTTTTCTACTTCTTCTGGATTAGGGTGTTCAAGTCTTCCTGTTGCATGTTCGCTCGGTTCTGGTGTTATCAGGTTGTTTTACAGATTGTTGGAGGAATTCTTGCATTGGCGCGCCTGCCCATCTCTTCCTTCAAATGCTCTCCGATGAATCTTCTGGTACAGGATCAGGGCCCCTTGCTGGCCAGGGACCTCACAGACAAAAGCCAGCCTTTTTGTCTTATTGACTGTGTCCTTTGTTTTACAGAAGCTTCTCTGTTTCAGGAGGTCCTATTTATTTATTGTTGCTCTCAGTATCTGTACTATTAGTATTATGTTTAGGAAATGATCCCTACACCCATGCATTGAAGACTACTTCCCACTTTCTTTTCTATCAGTTTCAGTGTAGTCAAATTTATATTGAGGTCTTTAATCCATTTGGACTTGAGTTTGTGCATGGTGATAGATATGGATCTATTTTCATTATTCTACATATTGACATCCAATTATGCCAGAACCAACTGTTGAATTTGCATTCTTTTTTACCATTGTATAATTTTAACTTCTTTCTCAAAAATAAATACACTTTCTTCTATGATATTTTTTAGTATATTTTCTGTGCCTTTGAGCTGTTATTCTTCTCCTGCTTCTATCCCTATTATTATTATGTTTGGTCTTTTCATGGTGTCCCAGATTTCCTGGATGTTTTGTGTTAGGAATTTGTTGGATTTACTGTTTTCTTTCACCAATGAATCTATTTGTTCTAAGTACTTTTAACCCCTGAGAATCTCTCTTCCATCTCTTGTATTCTGTTGGTTATACTTTTCTCTGTAGTTCCTGTTCATTTACCCAGATTTTCAATATCCAGAATTCCCTCAATTTATGTTTTCTTCATTATCTCTATTTCAATCTTTAAGTTTTAAACTGTTTGCTTCACCCATTTGACTGTTTTTCATGGTTTCTAGGATTTCTTTGAGGGATTTATTAATTTCTACTAATTTTTATTTGTCTTCTCCTCCATTTCTTTAAGGGAGTTTTTCACTTCTTCGTTAAAGGGCTACATCATCTTCATAGAGTTACATTTAAAATAATTTTCTTCTGCCTCTTCTGAGTTCAGATGATCAAATCTTCCTGTTGGATGCCCTCTGGGTTTCAGTATTAACATGTTGGTTTTTAGGTTGTTGGAAGAATTCTTGCATTCTCATCTCTTCCTTCAGTTCTTGCAGGCAGTGTCTTTGCATCTTGGTCCAATTCTTGCAGTGGCTGTCTGTGTCTTTGAAACCTGTTTTTGGTATTCACTGTACTGTCAACTTCTGTGTTTCAGGGAGCCACTGTGGTCTCTCTTATCCTGCTCATTTGGTCTGCTCTCCTGGTTCTCTCTCTTGGTCCTCTCTGTATTGTAGCAAACTGTGTTTCAGAGTTCCACCAAGGTTGCAGGAATATAGGCAAATTTAGAAGTGGGTTGGGACTTGTAGCTTGCAGGGTCTGGTGGATGGTGGTAGAATATTGGGTCAGTCTACTTACAGGAAACTCTCCTGCTGGTTGGCTAGAAAACCTGAGGCAGTTAAGAGAGGGTCCTGGATGTTGCCCCTGTATGGCAGGCCTAGAGAGTAGGGTGTCCTGCCAGGTGGCTGGTCACTACCTCTTGGTCCTCCCTGGGTAGTAGCAGGATGTGTTTCAGAGTTCCACTGAGGTTGCAAGAGAATATGCAAGTTTGGGGTCAGAGTGGGACTCATAGTTTCTACCATGAGTCCTTTACAGCTAAATGTTAAGGTCTCATGGATAATTTATTGCTACTTTTGCTATTTATTTATCATTTACTCTGTGACAGTAGGACATATTCTATATTTCCCTTCTTGTAAAGAGTTTTGAGATTGAGCTTACTTTTCAGAATAAAGATTATCATGACAAAATCCTCATGTGCACATGAAAGCAATGTGCATCCCACAAGTACAAAATGAAAGAACCTGCAAATATTAATCAAGTCCAATTTGTTCACAGATGTGTTTAAGTAAATCTGAACTTATTGTTTTCTTCTCATTAATCACCAAAACAATGATGTTAGAACTTCCATCCGGTGTTCTTTATGATCTTTTTATTGATTGCAGATTTTCCTACATTTTAAAACTACCATTGTCTACACACATATATACTTACTGTGTTTTCATTTATCAGTCTACTTTATTATTTCAATATCATTAGCTTTTTTCTTGTATTTTTGTAGTTTTGAACTTAAGGCTGTCTCGATGTCCCTAAATTTTATGACATAATTAATCATAGCTAAAGCGTCTTTTTTTTAAAAAAAAATGTTTTGCTTTTTTCAACTGTCTGAAATTTATTAATTTATAAAAGTTTCCATTTCCGCCCCTCCTCCCAACACCTTCCCACTCTCCCCACTCCCCCTCCTCCTCCCTCTCCATCCCTAAGAGCAGTCAGGGTTTCCTGCCCTGTGGGAAGTTCAAGTTCCTCCCCCCTCCCTCCAGGTCCAGGAAGGTGAGTATCCAAACAGACTGGATCCCAAAAATCCAGTATATGCAGAGGAAACAAGTCCCAGTGTCATTGTCGATGGCTTTTCAGAAAGACTCCGGGCCAGCCACATTCAGAGAATCCGGCCACATTCAGAGAATCTGGTTGGATCATGTGCTCGTTCAGTCCCAGTCCAACTGGCCTTAGTGAACTCTCATTAGATCAGTCCCCTTGTATCAGTGGGTGATCGGACCCCTCGCGGTCCTGAGTTCCTTTTTCATGTTCTTCCTCCATCTGCTCCTCATTTGGACCTTGGGGGGCTCAGTCCAGTGCTCCAATGTGGGTCTCCGTCTGTATCGCCATCCATCGTCGGATGAAGGTTCCCTCTGGTCTTGCCTTCTTTGCTCACATTCTCTTTCCTTCTGCAACTCATGGAACCTTCTCAAAAATTGACCACATACTCGGTAACAAAGCAAACTTCCACAGATACAAAAAATATCAGTAACCACCTGTGTCTTGTCAAATCACCATGAATTAAAATTAGAATTCAACAACAATGCTACCCCCAGGAAGCCAACAAACTCATGGGAGTTGAACAGTCAACTACTAAATCACCCCTGGGTCAAGGAAGAAATAAAGAAAGAAATTAAAGTCTTCCTTGAATTTAATGAAAACAAAAAAAAAATGGTTTAACCTACTTAAACTTTATCATTATTATAATATTGGATTTAACTCAGTAGACTCACTATTTTGTACAATTGGTCCTTTCTATAACTTCTTCAACTGAGGGCCAGTTTGACAACAAATCTAACCAGAACAAGAGAATTTTCCTCCCTTGATACCTACCTATTTAGCTTGTCTCATGATCTTAATTGAGCAATAGATTCGTTTCACTTCAATGCTATCATAGGGGCCTGACCCTGTCCATAAATTCATCTCAAAAGGTTATCATTACAGTTAGACTTCTTTCCACTCAGAAGTAATTCCTCCTGGACTGTTTGCATTTCCCAGCATGGGAACTGACAGAAACTGCACTCTGCTTCACATTCATAGCTCCTCTGGCCCTTTATTGGTCCTTCAGTTCTGAGGTTCAGAATGGAATCAGCCTGGCAAGTTAGTGAAAGCAATGGGGACTTTGAATATCAATGCTATTCATTATGGTGAAAACTAGAGGTGTAACAATGTCAGCTTGTACATTAATGTTCTTCATGGGAAATAATTGTAGTGAGTGGTGTTAAATTATTTATTACTATCATGATAGTTACTGTTTAGGCATCATTTAAATATTGGTATGATGATCACATAATTCTGTTGTTGAATACATTTTATATTCTTGGTACTCATGAGTTTACTTATCTATTCCCAACTCTATCCTCAGAGGCCCTCTTAGTTTCTCCATCACTACAAAAGATGTGTGAAACCCTAGCTTCCCAGACTCAACATATATCAAATAACTGCATGGATAATTTGGGACACTTTGTTTAAAATGTAACACCTATGTAATATGTAAGAGAGTTTGGTTTTAATTACCACCGGAGAAGATATAGAAAGATTTTCAACACAAGATTAAAACCTTCAGATGGAATTACTGGATAAGTCAGTCTTCATTCTAAGAACAAACAAACAGAATTTGAAAGAAATAACAACTAGATGATTAATATAGAACAGTTACACAAAAATGGAGTTAGACTAATCAAGAGAAAAGTACATTCTTCCTGTGATATCTGTGATGTTTGATCCTGGATAATGTATCCTTGAGAGCCTGGTGCACCTGCTTGTTGCGCAGGGTGTAGATGACAGGGTTCAGAAGCGGTGTCACTACCGTGTTCACAAGAGCAGCCTCTCTGTTGGTGTCAAGCCTGCTTGACTGCTTTGGCTTAATGTATATAAATATACAGCTGCCAAACATCAGCGAGAGGACGATGAGGTGAGAGGAACAGGTGGAAAAAGCCCTCTGCCGCTCCCTGGCTGAGGGCAGACGCACTATTGTGACTACTATATTGCTGTATGCAAAGACGGCTATAAGAAGGGATGTAAAAAGCACAATTAAAGCAAAGTTAAAGAACAGCATTTTGATAGACCTGGTTTCAGAACAGGAGAGATTTGCCAGTGGTCCAAAGTCACAGAAGAAGTGAGGAATGACATTGGGGCCACAGTACACTGACTGGGAAAGCATTACAACTGGAATGGCCATGAGGAGGAATCCCAGAACTAAACAGACAGTAACGAGAAAGACGCACATCCTTGGGCTCATGATGGTGTGGTAATGCAGAGGTTTGCAGATGGCCAGATACCGGTCCAGAGACAACACAGCAAGAAGGAAGAAAGCAGTTGCCCCCAGGAAAAGAAAGACAAAGGCTTGGGTGAAGCAGGCTCCAAAGGAAATCTTTTGCCTCCCTGAAAGAAAGATGGCCAGTAACTGAGGAATAACGGTAGATATACAACTGTACTCGACAAAGGAGAAGGTGCTGAGGAAGAAGTACATAGGTGTGTGTAAGCGATGGTCCTCGCAGGTCATGGTAATTATGAGCATGTTGCCCACAAGGGAAGCCAAGTAGGCCAGCAAGTGCACTAGAAATAGGAGGATCCCCAGGTGCTCAGCTGCAGGGAACCCCTCGAGGATAAACTCCTGGATGGCTGTCCCATTCCTGGTGACCTCTGTCATCAGCATGTCCACTTCTTCAGTCTGTCGCTGAGGGGTTTGCAGAACTGTGACTAAAAGTTGGGGAACTGTGTGTTACTAAAACTGTAAATGACACAGGAAGGCAATCGGGCTTGTAGTCAGGGCATTCAATATGCCATTTAGCCCATTGTTAAGTAAAAATAAATGATTTTAAATTATATGACAGTCTTTACATTGCATGTGCCCTAAAATACTGGCTGTTGAAAACCTACATCTGCCACACATCCTCATTAGGGATAATGTCATTCAACAGTGCTGATGGTTTTTCCATGTGGCTCACTGCCTGCTTGGAACTTTTATCTATTTAGTCATGATACACATTTCTGGTAAAATTAACTTTCATGTCATACAGATAAATATTGAAAAAGGAAAACAACAACTTGAAAATCATCCTGGATCCACGGCTGTAATTTTGGGGGTTGGGTGCCTTTCTACCATGCATGAAGCTGTGGTTTCAATTCACATCTATCCAAAATAAAAGAAAACAAAACAAGTCATATAAAACAAAGTTTACCTTATAGATACCAGAGAGATGGCTCTGCACCTAAATGCATTTGTTTTTTGTTTTTTTGTTTTTTTTTATGCAGAGAAGCTAGGGTCAGTTTCCCGAAATCAAGTGTCAACTCACAATCATCTGTCCCTCCATTTCCAGGGGACCCAGTGCCCTTTTCTGACCTCCCAGGACACCAGGCACATGGGTTGTATACATATACTCATGAAAGCAAAATACTCAATACACATAGAATCAAACAAATTTTCAAAAGTAATAACTCACAGAAGGGATTCATCCCACAAAATATATTCCTTCATCATACCTTAGCATTTGTGTCAATGTTTGGCCATGTTATTATCAGCAAAACATCCTGGAGTCCTGGATCCCCATCTGCAGTCCTATGAAGTGAGTTAGATCAGAAGTGGCACGTAAGTGACTCTAGTTGGATTGTCGTAGGTTCATGTCTGGCTGCTCTCATCTAGAGCCACCGATAGACAGTGAAAGAGAAGCATTTCCCCTCCATCCTGTGCTTGATGGTCAGCCCAGGGAGAAATTCTATCAACTGATCTTCTTAGTCCAGATATTTAAGAAAGTCAGGATGCTGGGGAAGTGGGTCAGCGGGTGAAGTGCTTATTACCAAAGTGTGAGTTCAGATCCCAGCCCCTGTAAAAGACCAGAGTGGTGAAGTACATCTGTAACTCCAGCACTGGGCACGGGGGAAGACAGGCAGATCCCAGGGGTGCACTGGCTCAGCAAGCCAGTCCATTTTAAACAATGAACTTCACATTCAGTAAGAGACTCTAGCTTAAAATATAGAGTAGAATATAATGAAGAAGGGTGTCCAAAATCAACCTCTAGGTTTTGCATGCACACATGTTATAAAGTGCGCGCACACACACACACACACACACACACACACACACACACACACAAACACATAGACAAGAAATAAAAGATCACTTAACATGGTAGAAAATATTTCATTATTTCACTCCAATGATGATTCTGATTCATTCTTCCTCCTAATTCCTATATAAGGAAGATAAATATTTTCCCATAAATGATAAAGGCTTTGGTTGTGAGCCTTTGTCTCTGACCACCTGGAATCCATCACACATCTCAGACCTCCCTTTCTGACTTGGAAAAAGCAAATATTCTTGTTCTTATTATCAGAACTGTAAAGAAACTGGATGGAAGAAAAACTCTGCTGCCATTTACATCAAGTAAATGACAAGAGGCTCCACTTATGCTGAGGCCAAACCTCTGCCACAAGCAGCTCACAACACTCACAATCAGGACACCCCTGCCACAAGCAGCTCACAACACTCACAATCAGGACACCCCTGCCACAAGCAGCTGACAATACTCACAATCAGGACACCCCTGCCACAAGCAGCTCACAACACTCACAATGAGGACACACCCCTGCCACAAAGCAGCTCACAATAATCAGAACTCAGCCTTCTGATATTTTGACTCTCAGAAAAAAATCAACACATTGGTCTGGACATCTAAATCATGTGTAAATAAATAAATGTTCATAATTTTCAAGAGATAAAGTCAACTTGTGCAGTACATATGCCGTTTCATCTTCTCCAATCAATTAACAGTCCAAGAACTGGATGAAATCAAATTTATACATCAGTTGAAATATTTTGGGGTGACTACATCAGAAAATAAGAACTCACAATCCTCATTTGTTCTCTGAAAATTGAGCAGTGAGTTCATCTGTGATTCCCAAAAACTTCTGTTTGTATCCAGTGCCCCACACCTCCCTTGTATGCTCCAGCATCAGCAAGCAGCCCTCCTATTAGGAACATGGTCCAGTCAGGGCACAGGGCAAGAGAGTCCTCACTCTATATGGAATACATATATATTTTCTACCTAGACAGTATTTTTTTTAAGTACTTTCCACAGCACTGAATTTGCTACACCCATTACCATCACCACCACTGTCAACCAAAACGCACATATTCCCAGATTGAGAAGATACCTAAACCAGCAGGAGCAGAAATGAAAGGAATATGAATTTGTCCCAATATATATTCAGCACTGGACTGTCTCTTGATACTAATCAGGGTCTACCAGGTCCAGCGGTGGCACCAAGAGACACTAAGTATCATTAGTAGATGGAACAGAGCCATCCACAGCCCTGTGTCACTCTAGGATCCCTCATGATTGATAATTTACCATGGTTGTGAAGGGAATACCACTCAATTAATAGCAATAATAATAGTCAATTTACATAATATTTTATTATATCTAATAATAAATAATGATTTGTAAGCATAATGACTGCTCCTTCATTGTATACAGAAATCGAATATGAGCTTCCAAATGTCGTCATGAAAATATTTTAAAGTGTAGCACATATAATCCCCAAATTCATTAATTTCCAAGTTGTATCATATTGTTAAGACTTGAAAACTGAGATGGAGACAATAAAGAAAACACAAACTAATGTGGGATTCCCCTCTGTATTCTGTGAATGTGTTCTATTGTCATTGGTTAATAAAGAAACTTCCTTCAGCCAATAGCTTAACAGAGTAAAGCCAGTTGGAAAATCTGAACAGAAATGTAGAGAGAGAGTAGGCAAAGTCAGGGAGACGAATGTAGCTTCCAAAAGAGACAGACACTCCGTAACCCTACCAGTAAACCACACACCTGTGGTAACAAATAAAATGATAGAAATTTGTTAATTTAAGATGTAAGAGTTAATTAATAAGAAGCCTAGGTTATTGGTCAAACAGTGTTGTAATTAATACAGTTTCTGGGGGACTATTTTGGGTCTGGGTGGCTGAGAAATGAAAAAGCAGTCTAACTACAAAATGATATCTAACATGGGGCAACTACATCCACATAAAATCTGAACGAGCTTAAAAAGAAATTCTGGACACAAAAGAACAGAGTTTAGCACAGCTTTTTGGTAGCTGCATTTTTCTTCCAGATGGGCACTGTTTGCTTACTGCGAACAGGGGTGCCACAGCTCCTTTAAGAGAGCTCTTCCTGACTCAGATTGGCAGCAAAGGCTGCAGGGCTTCTTTAGGGGAGGGCTTCCTGGTTTGAGCCAGTTGCATGAACAACTCTGACTCTCTCAGGAGGCCGAGCACATAAATGGAGTGTGTGAGTAGCGTGTTACAAATTGCTTAATGGTGGCATTAACCTGCTGCTACCTTGGAGTTGGGGTGGTGTGTATGATCTCAGAATCAATGAGCATGCCTCCATCATGTTGGACTGGGCAGAGCCAACAGACAGGGCCATGAGTTTATCCTAGTTATGCCCATGTAGCAATTAAAAGAAAGAACAAAAACAATAGCACTCCTGGTTAGAAAATAATTACAGATGCACATACAATAAAGAAAGATTCATTTACAAAAGACCTCTAAATGGGTCACAGTGTTGGATAAACCTGCATAGACTTGGGAGAGTGAGGAAAAGGTATGTAAATAGTTATAATATAAAAGAGTATAGAAGTCATAGATTTAAAGTGTAAAAATAATAAAATAATTATTAAACATGTAAAAAATAATTAAATAAACAAGAAATAAGCCATGTAAAGATAAAATATACACAGAGAGTCTGGATTATGTATATTATTGTGTTTTCTTTAAATTTAAGAATGTGAGACAGTCCTTCAGGGTTCCTGTTTCATGAAAGAGTCTGCCAGACATTCTGCAGTATACAGAAGAAAGTGACTGACAAACTGCCAATATAGGCAAAACTATTTTTAAAATTTCCTGTTTCATGGAAAAGTCTGCCAGATATTATGTGCCTATAGACTGAAGATGGATGCCCCAAAGTTACAGAAAAACTTTGAATGAGTGTCCAGGCAGCAGGATGTCTCTGTCAATTCTAGAGTTTTGAAACTTGCTTACAGTGCACTTCCCTTTAACTTAGGTAATATTATATCCTTCTGGAGTCTTTGATAGAGTTAAAAAATAAATAGTTGTAATTATCTTAGTTATAAAAAATAAAATAGTTATAAAATTCTAATATAATTCTTCCTTGATAACTGTTTTGTTGTATGTACTCTTGGTATGTTAAAGTTAAAACCTCCCTTTTTAATTAGACAGCAACAGGAAGGTGATGTGGAATCCCCCTCCATATGCTGTGAATATGTTTTATTGCCATTGGTTAATAAAGAATCTGCTTTTGTCCAATGGCTTAACAGAGTAAAGCCAGGTAGAAAATGTAGAAAAAGAGTATGTGGAGTCAGTGAGATGCCATGTGGCTGCCGAAGGAGACAGGCAGCCCTTAACCTTACTGGTAAACTGAAAGCCTCATGGTAAAATATAAAATAATTAAAAAATGGGTTAATTTAAGATGTAAGAGTTTAATTTAAGTTAATTTAATTTAAGTTAATTTAAGATGTAAGCTATTGGTCAAGCAGTGTTCCAGTTAATACAGTTTCTGTGTCATTATTTCAAGTCTGGGTAGCCAGGATATGAAAAAGCATTCTCTGCCTACAACAAACCAAGAGAATTCTGGAAATGTAAAATCTGGGGAAATGAGTGGGGACTACAAATGAAGAGTAACCAA